CCCCCCGGGGGGGCAAGGCCCCGGGGGGGGGGGGGGGGGCCTGGGGGGGAGGCCCCCCCCGGGGGGGCAAGGCCCCGGGGGGGGGGGGGGGGGCTCTGTGTGGCAGCCCTCCCCTGGGGTGCAAAGCTCTCGTGTGGGGGGAGGGGGCCTGCACCCACCCTGGGGGTTTTGGTGGGCGGCGTGGCAGCCATGAAGGTTCAGGAAAGTCCTCGGCTTACAACCGTTGTTGAGCTTGGCAATTAAGGTTGTGTGAGTCATAGAGTGGGCCATCGTGCAACTGACCTGCTTTTATGACTCATTGTGGCAGCTGTAAAATGACCCCACAGGGGTCATTAAGTGGAGCCACTCGTCCCTCAAAGGAAGCGGCAGTTTTGCCCAAAGCAGAAAGGGGGGCCCTGGGTTCGAGGGCTGCTCCCAGAGAGCACTGGGGTGGCCGGGGGATGGGCGAAAGTGGGGGGAGGGGGTCTCTCATGATTTTGAACGGTCGCTAAGTCGTAAGTCAAGGACTCCCCGAGGTCTGTCCTTTGCTCCCCTTTTCTCTCCTCCAGTTGAGTTTCCAGCACCCAAAAGTGAATCGGTCCAGAAATTCCAGGTTTCCTACCTGGGGAGCATTTCCGTGGCCAAGCCCGTGGGTAAGAGTGGGCTGGGGGGAGGGGGGACAGAGACCCCAAGAGGAGGAAGGGCAGCAGCAGCAGCAGCCTTGACCGGTTCCATCTTGACCCCCTCCCCTTCAGGCCCTCCCCGGCCCCCTCCCCGTCTCTGCGTGCTCCTCAGCCCCTGGGCTGCCCCTCCCTTCCCCCCGCCCTCGCTGCACAGGGCCCCCTTGGCCAGGGGGGGGGGGCTCTTTCCTTCCGCTGCATTGGCAGGACCTCCGGCCTTGGCTTCCCCTAAGGCAGGAAGGCCGGCAGATCAGATCCCCTTTCTCCCCCGGAGATTGGCAGTCCTCCTTCTGCAGCTCAGGGAGCGGAAAGAGCCCATGTGGGCAGCCGCCTTCCCATCCCCCCCCCTGGATCGGAGGCCCTGCCCGCAGGGGGCCCAGGGCAGCCTCCTGGGTGGAGATGCTCTGCTGCTCCCTCGCCCGCAGCCATTCCCAGAAACCGGAACCATCGTCCTGGCTTAGCTGCTGCTGGGGCCTCCGAGGGCTTCATCACCCGCTTTGCTTCCCCAGGCATGGAGGTCATCAACAGCGCCCTGGAGGCGGCCCTGTCGTCCGGCAGCAAGGAGCAGTGGGCACCCGCCCAATTCAGCGTGGCACCAGCCACCCTCACCCTCACCCATCAGCAGGTGAGGAGGGCGTGCTTGGCGGGGGGGCAGCTGGGGACGAGGCCTTCAGAGCCAGGGATGGGAGCCCCCCCCCCCGCGCTCTCTGTGGGTCTCTCCCAACTCCCGCCTTCCCCGCAGACGGAGACCGTGCTGTGCGAGTGCCGCGTGCGCTTCCTCTCCTTCATGGGCATCGGGAAGGATGCCCGCTCCTTCGCCTTCATCATGGCTGCTGCCGCCGGCAGTTTCTCCTGCCACATGATCTGGTGCGAGCCCAACGCTGCGGGGCTGAGCGAAGCCGTCCAGGCTGCTTGCATGGTGAGTTCGAGGGGCTCCTGTCCGTCCCCCCCCCGCTTGGCAGAGGCTCTGCCACGTTGCCAAAAGCTGACCTTGCCAGCTCTCTGCAATCTGCTGGCCGGCCATTCCTGCCCCCCCCCTCCCTGAGCAATCCATCCCACCGGTGCCTAACCTCCACCCCCCCCCACCCCCTCGTCCATCCGTTCCCTGCTGTAGAAGGGCGCTCACAGGGCATGGCTGGGGGGATCCTGTGCCCTACGTGCCCCCCCGTCACCCTCCTCATCCCTCCTTTCCAGCTCCGCTACCAGAAATGCTTGGACGCGCGGCCCCAGTCCACCAGCAGCTCCTGCCTTCCGGCCCCTCCTGCCGACTCCGTGGCTCGCCGCGTGGGCTTCACGGTCCGGAAGGGCATCCAGGCCCTGCTGGGGACCCTCCAACCCAAGCACCAGGGGTCTCAGACGCCGTGAGCTCCAGGCAGGAGGAAGGGGCACCTGCCCACCCAGCCGGACCCTCCATGCCAGCCGTGCCCCTGGCCTCTGCCATCAGCCTCGCAGCGCCCAGCCGGCCCTCGTGCGTGGTGCGTGTGTCTTCTGCATGGGTGCCAGGGGTCTGTTGACGAGGGCGGCGTGGATCTCCACGGGCGTCTCACCTTCATGCCGGTGGGGGAGGAGAGGGAGGGGGAGGGCTCCTCTTTGGGCGGCTGCCCGGCCTGATCCCTTCCCCCTCCCCAAGCCCTGGAATCAGCGGCTGCTGTTGAGGACCTTGCTGGCATCTGGCCTTGCGCGGGGGGGGGGGGGGGCTCAGGGCCCCAGCAACCCCCCCCCTTTGGCCCAGCAGCAGAGGGGGGGGGGGGGAGCTGCTGCCTCTGCTGTTTGTCTTGTACTAACCCACCAATAAATTCTGTTCCCCCCCCCCTCCCGTCCGTCCGTCCGTCCGTCTCTGGTGTGGTCTTGCGATGGGAGGGAGGATCTGCCAGCGTCCCTCCCCCCACCCCAGAGGCTGCTGGAGTCCAGTCCTGGGGATGATGGGGGGCCTGGCAGGGCACTGGGGGGGGTCTGGGGTGCAGGGCAGCCTCCCCTCCCCCTCCCGGGATATGGCGCAGGAAAGGCAGAGCTCCCCCCTCCCTCCGGTCATCAGGAAGAGCCTGTGCCCGTCTCTGCCTGTCCTCTGGGCTTGGGGGCAGCCGGCTGGTCACGCGTGGCCAGAGCATCCAGGCAAGCGGCCGATGTCTGCTGGTGGGGGTGGAGGGTGGCAAAAGAGGAGCCTTCTGCCAGTGGAGGAAGCCATTTATTGCCGGGGGAAGGAGGAACTGAAGAGAAGGGGGCGCCCCCTCCCCTGCTGGCAGAGGCTGGGCTGAAGAGTCTGAGAAGGGACCCTGCCCGCTTTTGCCTGGCGCCAGAGCAGCCCTGCAGAGGAGTCCTGGCAAGGGCCCCCCCAGCCGTCCGGGCCTCTGCTCCTCCTCTGCGGATGGCACTTCATACATGGGGGCAGCAGGGGGGGGGGCATGTCTTGCAGGCCTGCTTTCCATGCCCCCTCCAAGAGGGGGGTGGTGGTGGTGGAGCAGGGGCGGAGGAGGAGAAGCTGCCAAGCAATGGGGGGCAGCGGCAGAGGCACAGGGCAGCCTGCCCCCCCTCCGTCTCTTCAGAGTCTTGGGGCCTTCTCTGCATCTGGGGGGTGCGGTGTGGAGGGCTGTGGGGCTTCTCTGGAACTCGAGCCCAAGGGAGCGCCGGAGCGAAGGGGCCCATGCCCACAGAGCCTGCCAGAGAGCAGGGCCACTGCTAGCAGAACCGCTGTTGCCGCCACCAGGCCTGGATTTCCGGGAAGGGCAGCTTGAGGGTCTGGCAGAGTTTGGGATCGGCTGCCCGGCCGGTGCGGAGCGCGCAGAGCGTGGCCTTCTTGCAGGCGTCCCCGCAGGGCTGGGCAGGCGGGTGGCCCTTGAACCGCAGGTACCAGAAGTGCTGGAAGAGCCGCTCGTCGGCCTGCAGGCGGTCGAGGAGCTGGTTCCAGTCCTGCGGGAAGGCCACGGGCAGCCCGTAAGTCTCCCGAGCCCCGTAGAGGCGCTGCCACTGAGCCACGGCCCCGGGCTGGTTCGCCTGCGTCAGGTTCAGGATGAAGGTCTCGTGGTCAAGGACCATGTGGGAGCTGCCAGAGCGGATCCCGTCCACGTGGTAGATCCGGTACCCTGGAAGGCAGGCAGGCAGGCAGGGGTTAGGGTCTCCGCCCAGGAAGGGCCCCTGCAGCAGACCCTCTGGGGGCAGAGGGGGGCAGCACCTCACCTGGGTTGAGGCTGATGTAGGTAGTAACGCTGGGAGCCAGGAAGGCGATGCCCACCGGACGGGAAACGGTCTCCTCGTCGTAGAACATCTCAAAGGCGTCCAGGTGGGTGTGGCCAAAGAACTGCCCGGCTACAGTGCCCTCAAACCTGCAGGGAGGGACAGGCCTGAGCCGGGAACTCCCCAGCTTTGCCCCGGATGGGCAGCCAAAACAGGCTGAGCAGGAATCCCTGAAGATTGGGGGGGGGGGGGAAGAGAAGAGGTGCCCCCAGGACCCCGAGCACTTCCAGTCCTAGGGTTCCATGCCTTAAGTCTCCGGGGGCTGCTCTGGGCCTGAGAAGCGGGAAGCCTCCCCCGGGTTATAGAGGCTGCGGTGCACCTCCCGCACGAGGCTCCGCAGAGTCCCCTGAGCCGTGAGAATTCAAACCATGGCTGGCATTAGGAACTGCTCCAAGGGCAGCGGCTCAGCCTTGACCTGCTACCTGGGTTGTGTGAACAAGGCTCAAAATCCAGCCGGCCCCAACACCCCCCCCCGAAACAAAACATGTTCTCATTAGCTTTGGGAGTGGAAGCCCCCCCCCCCCCTCCGCTTCAGGAATCATTCAGGAAACCACCTGGGGGATTTGATGGGCTGCTCACCGGGCGAATGAGGGCGTGGGCATGAGCCATGGCTGAGCCTGGGGCAGCTGAAGCAAAGTTAGTGATGGCGGGAGGGACCTGAGCGATGGAGGGGAAGGAGCCTGAGAGGACTTCAGCCCCCCCCTCTCCCCCCCCCACGTGGAGCGACTGTGCAGGCTGGGACGGGCAAGAGGCCTGCGGGAGTCTCTGCACTCAGCCTGGCACAAGCCCTTGCTCAGGTGCCATGCTTGGATGCCAGGCTGGGCAGAGAAGGCAGCTGGCGCTTCCTACCTGTTGATGATGTGGTAGTAATTCCAGCCCCAGCTCCGCAGGCAATGGGAGGGAGGGATGTGGCCAATGATGTGGACCTGCAGAGGATGGGGGGGGGGGTGTCAGTGGGGCAGCAGCAGGGGCCCCCTCTGGAGACGGGGGGGCTCGCTCTTTGCCCTGCCTTCCCAGGAGGCCACCCCATGCTCTGGGAATGACCCGGTCAGGCCTGCCCCAGTTCCTGCCCGCCCC